CAGAAATATCAAATCACTCTGTTGTGTACCTGGAACTAACATAATGTTTTCGGTCAATTATACCCCAGTTAAAAAATAAATAAAATAGGGCTTCCTTGGTGGCGCAGCGGTTGGGAGTCTGCCTGCCAACGCTGGGGACACGGGTTCGAGCCCTGGCCCGGGAGGGTCCCACATGCCGCAGAGCAGCTAGGCCTGTGCGCCACAACTGCTGAGCCTGAGCTCTGGGGCCCACGTGCCACAGATGCTGGGGCCTGCACGCCTGGAGCCCGTGTTCCACAGCGGGAGAGGCCACGACGATGAGAGGCCCGCGCACCGCGGCAAGGGGTAGCCCCCGCTCGCCACAACTGGAGAGGGCCCGCGCACAGCAACGAGGACCCAACAGAGCCATAAATAAATAAGTTTATTTTTAAAATTAAATAAATAAAATAAAAATAAATTACACCGCTCCACAACAAGGGAAGGCACAGTCACTTACACTCCCACACACCAAAAGCTGGGCTCTGTGGCTCTGTCCTCTCAGCTTTCATGTTCTGTGTACCCCTTGCTGCTGGCACTTTTCATAAGCTTCTTGTCTATACACCTGATACTCCTCCACCACGTACCCTGAGTTCCCTGAAAGCAGATACCAACCTATACTTTTTTAAACGTTGTGCTGGCCTGAGTGTTTGTGTTCCCCTCCAAATTCATATGTTGAAGCCCTACCCGCAATGTGACTATATTTGGAGATAGGGCCTGTGAGGTGGTAAAAGTTAAATGAGGTCGTAAAGGTGGGGCCCTCATCCGATAGGGCTGGTGCCCTTAGAAGAAAAGGAGGAGACACAAGAGCTCTCTCTCCACCATGTGAGGACACAGCAAGAAGGTGGCCATAGACAAGCCAGAAAGAGGATTCTCACCAGACACCAACCCTGCTGGCACCTTGACCTTGGAATTCCAGCCTACAGGCTGTGAGAAATAGATTTCTATTGTTTAAGCTACCCAGTCTGTGGTATTTTGTTATGGCATCCTGAGCAAACTAAGACAAACCTCTTTTAACATACAGCATAGGACTGATTATGCAGTGAAGACTCAATAAATGAGTGGCAAAGGGGCAAAGTTCAAAGATTACCCCAACACATCATTTTCATCAGGCATGAATGCTTCTTCCACAACAACACAATCTTTCAGAGTCTGGTAAGTAGTGGCGAAGTAGATCACTCTAGATGGCAGTCAATTTCCTTGCACACTAGTAGGCAGAGGTGCCCATGGGAAATGACAAGGCCTAAAAAGTAGAAGGGGGGGTGCTATGGACTGAACTGTGCCCCTCCCAAATTTGTTTGTTGAAGCCCTCACCTCTAATGCGCCTGTATTTGGAGGTAGGGCTGTTAGGAGGTAATTAGGGTTAGATGGGTGGAGTCCTTATCCAATAGGATTGGTGGCATTAGAAGAAGAGGAAGAGAGAGAAAAGGCAGCCGTCTGTAAGCCAGGAAGAGAGGCCTCACCAGAACCAACCATGCTGGCACCCTGATCTCAGACTTTCAGCCTCCAAAAGTGCGAGGAAGTGTCTGTTGTTTGAGCCACCCAGGCTATGCTATTTTGTTGTGGCACCCTAAACAGACTGAGACAGGTTTGGGTGCCTAGCAGTGAGGTGATACTGTAACAAATACCTAAAAGTATGGAGGTGGCTTTGGAACTGGGTAATGGGTAGAGGCTGGAGGAGTTCTGAGATGTATACAAGAAATACGGATGTTAAAGGCTGTGAAATAAAATTCGTATTTTATGGCAAGACAAGAAAAATTTAAACATAGAACTTCTTCTCTGCTCTTTGGCCTCCTCTCTCCCCACACTGTGCTTTGTGTATCTGCCTTATGCATCGACCAAGCCTCTCCCATCAGTAGGAATACCTGTTCAACCATAAAGAGCAACATTCTCCTAGCATCAAGACGACTCCTTCCTTAAAAGATAACATTCCTTCTTGATCTTGTAAGGGGTCACATGACCCACCAGGATGATGCTTAGATCTGGATTATGTAAACTGTCAATAACACATCATTTGACGTACAGCCTTCTGCCTCAAAAAAACTTATGTAACTGTGCCTTGATTTCTAACCAGTGGAACAGTTCTCAAAGCTTTCTGAGATGCTCTTCCTGGGTTATAATCCTCAAATTTGGCTCAAATAAAATTTTCCAATTCTTTCTTTGATCCACTGATTTTTTTTTTAATATAAATTTATTTATTTATTTATTTATTAGTTTTGGCTGCGTTGAGTCTTCATTGCTGCACGCGGGCTTTCTCTAGTTGCGGCGAGCAGGGGCTACTCTTTGTTACAGTGAGTGGGCTTCTCATTGTGGTGGCTTCTCTTGTTGCGGAGCAAGGGCTCTAGGCTCACAGGCTTCAGTAGTTGTGACACACGGGCTCAGTAGTTGTGGCACAAGGCTCTGCAGTTGTGGCTCACGGACTCTATAGCGCAGGCTCAGTAGTTGTGGCGCATGGGCTTAGCTGCTCCGTGGCATGTGGGATCTTCCCAGACCAGGGCTCGAACCTGTGTCCCCTGCATTGGCAGGCAGATTCTTAACCACTGCACCACCAGGGAAGCCCACTACTGATTAATTTTTTGTCAACAGGGTGATTCCGGCAAAAGCTCAAAGACAAGAGAGAGCTGGAGAGAAAGTTTCCATCTTCTTAGAGAACACAGAAATAATCATGAATACAATGCTGTTAGGAAGATGGACATTAAAGGCCACTCTGACAAAGCCTCAGATGGAAAGGAGGAACAGGTCCTTGGAAACTGCAGGAAAGGTGATCCTTGTTATAAAGTGGCAAAGAATTTGTCTGAATTGTTTGTGTTCTAGTGTTTTGTGGAAGGTCTAGTTTGCGAGCAATGATACTGGGTATTTAGCTGAGAATTCCAAGCAAAGTGTTTAAGGAGAGGCTTGGCTCATCCTGACTGCTTACAGTAACATGTAAGAAGAGAGGGATGAACTGAAGAAGTTGTTAAGCAAAAGGAACTAGAACTTGAAGATTTGGAAAATTCTCAGCCTGTCCATATTGCAAGAAAGAAGAAAGCATGTGCTGGAGAGAATACCAAGGGTGTGGTTGGCCTATCACTCAGTAAAGCGTTTACGGGATTATGTGAGCAGAAACACTGCCAATTTGAACTGAAGCTGAGACAGGACCAAACGAAGGAAGGCTGTCAGACTCCTTGGATTTGACAGGACAGAGTGTACAGCTATTTGGCTGTGAATATGCACTATTCTTCTAGTAGAGAAGAGAATGACCCCAGTGGTGATTCAGAGATCACCAGGGCCACTGCCTCAGTTTCAACAGGCCACACTGGCCTTCACCCCAAAGCTTTGAGGGCAAGACTGCCCTGCAGAGCCCTGGTGGCCTAACTGACAGAGCTGTGGAGGAAGGGCCACTGCCCCAGTGCATCTGCAAGGCAAAGCATCTAACCAAAGAAGATTATTCTCAAGCCTTAAGATCTGATGGGGGCTTCCCTGGTGGTGCAGTGCTTAAGAATCCACCTGCCAATGCAGGGGACACAGGTTCGAGTCCTGGTCCAGGAAGATCCCACATGCCGTGGAGCAGCTAAGCCCATGCACCGCAACTACTGAGCCTGTGCTCTAGAGCCTGCGAGCCATGACTACTGAGCTCGCATGCCACAAGTACTCAAGTCCACGCCCCTAGAGCCCAGCTTCACAACAAGAGAAGCCACCGCAATGAGAAGCCCATGCACCGCAACAAAGAGTAGCCCCTGCTCGACGCAACTAGAGAAAGCCCGCACGCAGCCAAAAATAAATAAAATAAATAAATTTGTTTTAAAAAGAAAAGATCTGATGGAATTCGCCTTACTAGGTTTGGGACTTGCTTGGGACCCATCACACTTTCTTTTTTTTCCTATTTCTCTCTTCTGGAATGGGAATGTCTATCCTGTGCCTGCCCCACCATTGTATCTTGCATATAACGTGTCTGGTTTCACAGCTTCAAGCAGGAGAGGAATTGTTCCTCAGGATGTATCATATCTATCTGATTTAGATGATATTTAAATGAGATTTTGGACCTTAGACTTTAGAGTTGATGCTGGAATGACTTAAAATTTGGGGGGCTGTTGGGATGGAATGAATGTATTTTGCATGTGAGAAGGACATGAATTTGGGGGACCTGGGGTAGAATACTATTGACTGAATTGTGTCCCTTCCCCCAAATTCATACGTTGAAGCCCTAACCCCTAATGTGATTCTTTTTGGAGACAGGGATTTTAGGAGGTAAAGTTAAATGAGGTCATAAGGGTGGTGTCTGCATCTGATACGGTGGTCTTATAGAAGAGAAAGATCATTCTCTTTCCCATGTGCACATGCACACATTGAAGAAAAGCCACAGTAAGACTTAGTGAGAATGTAGCCACCTGCAAGCCAAGAAGAGGGCTCTCCCCAGAACAGAATCAGCGGGCACTTTGATCTTGGATTTCCAGCCTCCAGAGCTGTGAGAAATAAACTTGTGTTGCTTAAGCCACCCAGTCTGCAGCATTTTGTTATGGCAGCTCCAACGGACTAATGTGGGGTGGGCGGGGAATGGGACCTGAATGACCAGGGGCTCTAATTACTGATAATGTAAAAGGTGAAAAAATAAAAAGATAAATAAACTTTAATCGTGTGGACTACCCCAGGAAAAATTTGGGATTTTAAACTCTGTGGTTACTTTGGCCAATTTTTTACAATTTGATTGGCATGCTTTCAAAAAAAATTGTGATATAATTCACATACTGTAAAATTCACTCTTTTAAATTGTACAGTTCAGTGAGTTTTAGTAAGAATTTGTATTACTATTTTTTTCTTTTTTATCTTTTTTTAAAAAAATCTGGACGACTTTTGAGGCAGTTCTGAACAGAAAAGGAATGAATTTTCCTTCACAGCTGAGAAGGCCTGTTAAAGCTAGCCAACTGTACTGCTAAAGCCCCCATGGCACCCGAGACCCGGTCCATCTCCCAGCAACGCCCTTGCCGCCAGGGGGCCTCGTTTCTTACCCAGCATGGCGAGGAGCAGGCCCACGATGCGCGGGTGGGCGGCGATGGCTGGGCCCACGCTCGGGTGGATGGCCAGGTTGGCGAGCACGCGGGTCAGCTTGATGAGTACGTCCTCTGCCTGGGCCGGCCTCGGCGCCTTGGGCCTCTCTTCTCCTTCCCCCAGGGGCTTCTGGGAATGCAGATCCAGTTTGTAGAATGTATGGAATAAAGACAGCAGAGTTGGGATGCTCCCTTTCTCTTTGGAAAACTGCTCACGAGCCTGGTTATTTTTCGCTGTCAGGTTGCCAAGAATAAAAACAATACGAACGACTAAATCCTGCAATAAATTAAAGACAAAGAGTCACAAGACCGAAGGGGTTGGGACAAGTTGTTGGGAAGAGGACAGTATTTAATTAATTCACAATTTAATTAATAGTAAAATGGAACACATCTGGCTTCTTCTGACTTGTACAGTATTTGATTCCCAAGATTGGTGCAAAGTGACAGAGGAGATTAAAAGCATTTGGCAACAATGAAAGAATACAAACTGATTGATGCTGTTAGCAAGGTCTATTAACTTCAGATCCTTCATCTGAAATGCTGCCTGGCTTTTTTTTTTTTTTTTTTTCCTGGAGAGCAATTAGTTGAGCGGGATGACATTACTAGCAATGTGTCATATAAATCTAAGTCTTGACCCAAACAGGTTTCTTGAGTATCCAAATCTTTTCCTAAAAGTTCACCTCTTGCTGAAGCACTGTGTTTCTAAACCCGGTGTTTGTCCCATAGTGGCTAATCAGCTTGTGTTACAGCAGGCTTTCTCAGCCTGGGCACTGCTGACTTTGGGGGCTGGATAATTCTTTGCTATGGGGGGCTGTTTATGTTTAGTGGCATTCCTTTCCTACTAGATACCAGAAGCACTTCCCCAGATACCACAACCAAAAATGTTTCAACGTCCCCTGAGGGCAAAATGGCCCCCAGGTGAGAACCACTGTTACAAAGTGTTCACCACTTTAAAGCAGTATTTGTCTTTCTTGACCAGGGTAGTGGTTACATGGGTGACACTTTTATAACTGTTTGCTAAATGGTACAAATGTGTTTTGTGCACTTTTCTGTATATGAGCCAATATTTCACAATAAATAAACGTTTCTAAAAAATCCCAAGCTGAGAACACTTTACAACTGAACAAGAAACAAACAATTATGTTCTTAATTTGACAACAGCAGGCAGACATACCAGTTCAGTTGTTAAAGGAACACTTACTGAGGGGCTACAACTGGCCAGGGTGCTAATGCTCACTGTGCAGGCGCTGTGCTATTTACAGACAAGAAACTGGCTTGGAGAAGCTGCCTTGGTCACAGCCAGTGAGGGGTGGAGTCAGGATTTGAACCCAGGATTACCCAGACCTGGAGTCCTTCCTACACCCAGGCCTCTCACGTGGCCTGTTATTTACGAACCTCCTTCGGCCTACCCTGCTTTCAGAGCAGTAAAGGAATTATCTCCTTTTAAATGTAAATATGTCACCAGGAGGGATTCTGATAAAGGTTAATTTATCAGATCTGTAGTCAGCAATAGCCTTAAGGAACTGGGACAAAGGGCAAAGGGCTGGGTTGGTTTTTCTCCAGGTGGGACCTGGGGGATGGGAGCAGCACTGAGCACTGTGTGTGGCCTAGAGAGAGTGGGTGATCCAGGACAAAGGACAAGACACTGGGGTTTGCCTGGGTCTGCTCTGCCAATACCAACTTGTTCCTGCTTGTTCCTGAAAAGGTCTTCCCTGGCCCTGGTGAAGAAGCAGCCAAGCTGCTGCTTGTGAAGCTGGGAATCATTTGCCAACATTAAGAAAGGATGGAGTCTAACACGATGAGCTGGCCCAGGAGAGCATTCACACCGGGGGTGTGTGTGGGGGGGTGGGGAACCTCAGCTGGGCAGTGTGCAACCAATCACAGCAGGTGGTCCAGTCAGGGGACCCACTCCTGCCCCCACCCCAACTGGAATGCTAGTCCTTGGGTATATTTTGAATGCTGGGGTCTGGGGGAAATACACACACACAAACAAGGATAAGGCAAGGTGCTCTGAAGAGTTAGAATCGACTTGAGAAGACAAGGCTAGTGCATGAGGGGACACAGCAAAGACTGAAAGGCTAATAAGGAAGAAGCTAGGCACCCTAGGGGATTACGGCTCCCAGCAAGAGAGCCAGGCAGCCTGCATCACACTTCACTTAGCTTCTCTGTGACTCGATTAACTCATCTGTAAAATGGGGGGAATATTGTGTTGCAAAATTAAGACAAAACAGATAAAGCACAGGGACTTCCCTGGTGGCTCAGTGGTTAAGAATCCACCTGCCAATGCAGGGGACGTGGATTTGATCCCTGGTCTGGGAAGATCCCACATGCCGCGGAGCAACTAAGCCCGTGCACCACAACTACTGAGCCAGCACTCTAGAGCCCGTGCAATGAAAAGCCCGCGCACTGCAACAAAGAGTAGCCCCCGCTCACTGCAACTAGAGAAGGCCCCGCGCACAGCAACGAAGACCCAACACAGCCAAAAATAAATAAAAATAAAAATAAATTCATTTAAAAAAAACACAGGTAAAGCACAGACTGTGGTGAGTGATGATTCAGGCACTCTTTTGGGTTTTTTTTTTTTTTTTTTTTGGTTACACCACGTGGCTTGTGGGATCTCAGTTCTCTGACCAGGGACTGAACCCGGGCTACGAGAGAGCGCCGAATCCCAACCACTAGACCACGAGGGAACTCCCCTCAGGCACTGTTAAGAACCCTTTACTATCAATAAAATGTTAGTAGCGTTAACCATGATAAGTTCAACCTTGAAAAATGAATGAAAGCAGAGATGTGGCGGGGAACACAGGTGGGTTGGCACGGGGAAAAGGAGCATGTCTTGAGACAGAGGACCTAGAGCCGTCCCTTTCCGTGGCCTGGGGTCACCTTGTTTGTGTCTGATCACCAGACAGTTCCCTAAAGAAGCCGAAGCCTGTAGGCCTTAAATCTAAACCAAGCACACAAAGTTTCGTTACAATACTCCAGTCTCCCTTCGCGTGAAACCAGTGGTTACTTCATGTAATTCCCAATGGTGCAGGCTCCTCCCTGGGCTCTGGAAGGAGCGTACTCCTCCACCCTGGCAACACCCAGCAGCAAAGCAGACCATTTTCCAACCAGGACAGAGGCTATTTCCGAGAGCTAGGCTCCCTGAAGGAAAATTCCATTGTATTTTCTAAATTGAGGAATATGAGCTTTTCACACAAACTGATACAAGATTTCTGATTAAACACACTCTCCACTAGTCCTACCTCTGAAAATTGTAATAATTACTATTACTACTGATAGTAGTAGCAGCAACTAATACACTGTGTTTATGATGCACCAGGCACTGTTCCAAGCACCTAGGTACACAAATTAACTAATGCGCTAAAAGTGACAATTTGCAGTTCTTTAATTTGAACAAAACGTTCCCAATCTCCACAATCTGGATAGCCGCCTCCCTCATGCCCTAGACAGCAGTTATGGCCAATATTTTTGGACTTCCCCGTATTCCCTGGATTGTGCTCTTATTTCCACAAAAGCACATTAAGCAAGTCAGGAAAGACATGATCGGTGCTCTTAAATGACTTCATAAAGAATACGATAAATAACTGCATTCTATTGGTTAAATCATTACCAGGACTAATCAAGTTACCTCCTAAAATGTCACTGCCGTCTTCTGAAGGATGCTAGACTCTTTTTTTCTCCTTTCTCCCTCTTCCTAGCTCTGCTGCTTTACCTCCACCTCTGATGTTTGTTTTTCTGGTTGGTCTAACTCAGAAGGCTTCTCTGACCCTGTACCACCTCCACCTGTCCCTGCTGATTTGCTGACCAGATCCCTGGCTGCAGGTAAAAAAAAAAAAAAAAAAAGCAGGTTTCCTTAGAGGTCCTCATTCTTCATAATTCAAATGACCTCTACCCCCTGTCACACGTGGTCAAATCTGGGAAGACTGATGCTGCTTTTCTTGTTTGAAAAATCACCTCAGGCCCCTTCCACTTCTAAAATTCTTGGATTCAAATATCTCTGTGGGTCCTAACATGGCACAGATTATTAAGCCTGATGTGGGAAGAAGGGGCTCCAGGGCCGGAAGAGTTAACCCTGCCGCAGCACCTCTCTCCCTTCCTTCAGATGGAAAAAGGAGGGGGTGGTTCCTGGCAGCAGTGGTGCCAGCTGAAGGATGGCATGCAGAATCAACAAATGGGCTGGCAGATTGCAGCACCAAACTTGCAGCAACTGCTATGCTTGCTGTTTCTGTCCTCTTTCTCAGGGTTGGCTAAGGCATCTTTTTTTTTTTTCTCCCCCCATCCCCTCTCTCAGATATATTCTCTGTGAATCGAGGGAATAGGCCACAAGAGCAGCAGTCTCACAGGAGGCTGGCGGCGGTGGTGTTTCCTTACTCCCATGCCAGTGCTTGTCTGGACTCATCTGGAATCCGGAACAAGGAGGCTGACCAAGAGGGCTTAGCAGGGCCCCCTCAGCTCCCTGCAGGTGGCCTCTGCGCCGTGCAGAGCACTGCCCCTGGATGGTGTACGGAGAGGTCGTTTATTGTTCCACAGCCCAATCTATCTCAAGTCTACCAAACATCACTTAGTTAAAATCCTGTAAAGATTTGAAAAATTAGGCAAAGGCCAAAATCATCAATCTGTAGAGAAACAATGTGCAGAAAACGATTTCATCGAGGGGCCATTCTCCTTTGAGGTACAGAGGCTCTCCTTTATTCTTAGACAACGTCTGAGAACCACCTATAAATCAACACTGCATTTTTTATAGCCTTCTTATTAAACTGAACACAAAGCTGCATATTCATACCACAACTATGTAGTTTTGAAACAGCAAAATGAAGATGAATCAGGAGACAGAATCTTATTTTTCTTTTTTAAGAAGGCAGTCTAGTATAACCAGTTCATATCGACTCTAATTTTGCTTAAAATGGAATCAGCCCAGCAACAGCTCCGGCCAACCAGAGCTCAGACAGGTACACCTACCGGACAAAGCCTGACTCAACTGTGCATCCCAGGTATAGCCTATGGGATGTTCTCTTTGGTTTAGCATAAGCTATGCCCTCATGAGCAAGCATGTTACTCAGTCTGAATGGGCTCCCCATGCCTGTAAATAAAATTAACTGGAACAAAACAAGGAGCAGGACACTGCTGAAAAGAATGGTCTCTGTCAAGTTCCAGCTGCAGCCACCATGTTGACTGTTACTTTCCATGTGAGAATGACCGGCCTAAAGTCAATGGAGGAGATTCCCCCCCTACTCAGAGATGTAGAAACTGAGGCTTCAAGAGGCTCCCTGGCCC